TTTTTTTTTCGGATGAGCGACTGCTTTGATGCGGTTCAAAATTTCTGTTCAATGAGATATTTCAACGGGTTTTCCGTTCTTGTTTCCGAGATATGTCGTGAATTGTTGATAACCTCAGGTTCACGAATTTCTCGTTCTTTTGGGGAAATTGTTTTTCTCTCATCCAAAATTTTTTATGATAATGCCCAATATGTGCGGTCATCTCAATTGGTCAGTGAAGTTCGTCTCGACGGATCAAAAATGTTCGATTGAGTTGCAATATAAAGATTTGAACGCACTTATTTCGGGACTTTTCAATGTACCAAATGATGATCATACATGCTGTTTGCGAAAGTCATCCCAAACATGAATTTTAAGGGAGAGAGAAATGGCAAACTCCCTCGATGGACAATGCATCGGAGGTTATGCCAGAAAAGCGTATTTCAAGCCATTTCATTAAAATCACCATGAATATGCTCATGTTCATTATGGATCGATACGTCATAAATGATCAAAATTCTACCCGAAGTTTGCTCGCCAAACAGAACGTCATGAAAGCCATGTCAAGCTATCAACAACTTCTTTCTGAGAGGAAAAATGCATTGGAAGATAGTGGTGTGAAGGCGCTGCCAGTTTCTGGCCATAGCAACGCGTGCAGCGGTTAGTTGAAGTTTTTCTATTGCGAACAGCGTGCCTTGTAAAATTGCACAACCACCGATCAGTGTTCTCTTATATAGTGCGATATCATCAGGTCCAGCGAAATCTAGATTCAAGTGTCAATGTAGGATAAAAATGTTTCATAAGGGCAGGCCAAATCCAAGTGGCAAAATTAATGGCAGTCTAGAATTGATTATTAGACCAACTTCAAACGGTGCTGAAATGAACATGCGCCAAACAACTTTGTGCAATGAGTGACTGTTTTGGACTGTTTAAATCATGTGTTCAATAATCATCCCAAGTTTTCCGTCATCTCACTAACAGCCAACAGCAGAATTCGGTTGAATCATTGATCCATTACACCGATTCAGTCACACCTGGTCAAGTCAATGGTGGAAGCAGCATTGATGGGCATTCAACGCAATCAAACGATGGACACCATGCCAATTCGTCGGATCCAAGTGGCAATATTAATTACCATCTAGAAGTGACTATTGGTGAGATCGATTCAGTCACACGTGATCAAGTGAATACAACGAGGGGTGCTGATGAGCAGTCAACGGAACCAAGCGATGACCGTCATTCCAATTCATCGGATCCCAGTGGCACACTTAATGATGGACTAGCGTCCCACGAACATAGCACCACCTTGAACAGTTAGTTGCAGCTTTTGTGTTACGAACGACCAAGGATCGGTAAATTTCACGATCACCCAGTAGTTTTCCTTCCTCACCGTGAAATAATCGTGTCGATTGAACTGATTGATCTTCATTCCCGTTGCTGTTTAGGACTTGAGCGGGGTGACATTATTCCACTTAGGCAACCCACCTGCAAATGGCGCAGAAATGAATGTGCACCAGACCCAGAAGTTAGTCGGGTTTTTTTTGGTTGCAAACGAACAAACGTAGGTAAATCTTTTACATAGAGTGAAATCATCGCGTCGGACGAAATGATTAATAGTAAGCTATATTCCCATGTCTGCTTAGGATTCGGACGCGTAACTTTATTTCACCTAGGCAACATATCTGTAAAAGGTACTGAAATAAGCGCGTGCTTTTTGATCAAAAGGTGAATCAAACGATTAAGATCGTGGATTAACAGGCGAAATTTTTCTACAAGGCCATTTGGACCATTTTCGGCGTCCATCAATGAGATGTTTTCCGGTAGAACATAGAAAGAATTCTTCTACGAGTTTATTCGTTGAGTGTAATACATCCCGTAGCAACATATTCACCACAATAATTAATGAACGAACGGTGGTAAACACTAAGCACTTGTTTAATTTGTTTGTCAGGCTATAAACAGATTCTGTTCAGATGAAGGTGGAGAAGAAGGGAAAAGCGGCGGAAATGAAGGGCATGAAAATAATTACGATCCCGACTGCAAAGATGATCATCCGCAATGTATAGAGGCGAAACATTACATTTGCGAACAGCAAGAAGAACTCGCGGCAGAAAAATGCAGGAAAACGTGTGGATATTGCGGAGGTGGAGGATGTGAGTGATCGAGTTTTACATTAGGATGGACTCTATTTGGGCTGAGGAGGAGACGATTCAGTTGCAATTATGTGAAGACCATTTGAACACAATTTTTGAACATTTGCCGCGTCGATCAGGAAGCAATGTTGTCCAACACTTTCCACGAGAAATTTTCAATGAATATAATTTTCAAGTATTCATGGTCAATCACCTGTGACCGTTCCACAATATTAAAGTCATCACTGTGCAGAAACAGAGATTCTCACCAATTGTTTTGCAGCTCAATTCAGATCAATCGCAATTTTGAGATCCTGTTTTAAATAAAGGTTTCCATGAATAGCTTTCTGCAAAGAATGACCGCTGAGGAGACCGTTCAAAAATCATCTTGAAATCTACAAAAATTATCAAAATTGTTCAACAGCCACAAATAAAACTGGATCGAATCATTCATCCATTGCACCGATTCAGTCACGCCTGCTCAAGTCGATCGAGGAACCAGCATAGATGAGCAGTCAACGCAACCGAAAGATAACCTTCACGCCAATCGGTCGCATGGAAGTGGCATTACTAATGACAATCTTGAAGTGACTCCTCGTGATATTCATAGCGATATCGATTCAGTCACGCTTGGTGAAGTCGATCGAGAAAGCAGCATCGATGAGCATTCAACGCAACCAAGTGATAACCGTTCCAGTTCATCGGATCCCAGTGGCATATTTAATGATCGACTAGCGTCCCACGAACATAGCACCACCTTGAACTGTTAGTTGCAGCTTTTCTGTTACGAACGACCAAGGATCGGTAAATTTCACGATCACCGAGTAGTTTTCCTTCCTCACTGTGAAATAATCGTGTCGAGTGAAAGGATTCATCTTCATTCCCGTTGCTGTTTAGGACTTGAGAGGGGCGACATTATTCCACTTAGGCAATCCACCTGCAAATGGCGCAAAAATGAATGTGCACCAAACTGTTTTCCGGTAGAACATATGAAGAATTCTTCTACGAGTATATTCGTTGATTGTGATACATTCCTTGGCAACAGGTTCATCACAATAATTATCGAACGATCGGTGATAAACGCTAAGCACTTTTTCAGTTTGTTTGTCAGGCTATGAACAGATTCTGTTCAGATGAAGGTGGACGAGAAGGGAA